ACGAACCTTGATCTCATCAGGTCAGAGAAGATGATAATCGCATTGTTAGGCCTGTCACTCGAAGGACTTCTCAGAGAATCCAGTTCCGATCGATGACTCATGCTGCTCAGCTTCTCTTGTACTCATGCTCATGCTCATCTCGACATCCTTAACTCACACTCCTGCTCATAATCCTGCTCCAGATCGGATCCTCGCTCCTGCTCCTGCTCCTGCTCCTCGCTCCTGCTCCTGCTCCTCGCTCCCTGCTCCTGCTCCTGCTCCTCCCCTGTTCCTGCTGCTCCTGCTCCTTCACTCCTGCTGCTCCTGCTCCTGCTCCTCCTGCACTTACTTCTTCTCCTCCCTTTCATCCTCCTGCTTTTGCTCTCTTTTCCCTGCCCTCGTTTTCCTGCTGCAGTTTTGTCTACCGCAAGATGAGAAAGATGAAAGGGACGGACCACCAACGTCATCAGTATCCAGAGGAGAATGTGATTGCAGTTAGACAACTCAGAAGCATGTTGTCCCTGATCTCCTGCCCTGGCAGTTTGAACGAGATCGTGAGATGGTCGACTTGCTGTGGGCAATGGAACTGCAGCAGGTGCTCCCTGCTCCTGCTACTGCTCCCTCTGCTCCTGCTCCTGCTCCTGCTCCTGCTCCTGCTCCTGCTCCTGCTCCTGCTCCTGCTCCTGCTCCTGCTCCTGCTCCTGCTCCTGCTCCTGCTCCTGCTCCTGCTTCTGATCCTGCTCCTGCTCCTGCTCCTGCTCCTGCTCCTCGTCATCATCCTCTCCCTTCCTGAATCCTCTCTCTTCTCCATCTTACTCTTGACTCAACGCTACAGAGAAACTCCGAAGGTCATGCAGACTCAGCGTCGAGCTCTCACCAGGTCCGATCTCCTCCTCCTCCTCCTCCTCCGCTCCCTCCCTCCTCGTTTTCCTTCTCCACACATCTCTTTCATCGAAGATTTCTCTGTCCTCCTTCCCTCCCTCCTCTAACTCCGGAGGTACAGGATAGCTTGAGCACCTTCTCAGATCACAGTACTTCTCAAGATGATCCGCTCAGCGGGAGCGTCTCGGAGGGCTCTTCTGGGAGGTGTTTCCTCCTCCCACCTCCCTCCTCCCTCCTCCCACCTCCCTCCTCCCTCCTCCCCCTCCCTCCCCCCTCCCTCCCTCCCTCCCTCCCTCCCTCCCTCCCTCCCTCCTCCCTCTTCTCCCCTTCCTTCCTCCTCCTTTTTCCTCTCCCCTCCTTCGCAGTGCTCAGTCTGCTCCCAGTCTGTACGGCAGTCATGGCAGCCGGTCGGGAAGCAGCGGAAGCGTAACTGCACTGGAAACGGTTCCACGTGAGTAGAGGAGAGGAGGGCGAAGAACAGAAGGAGGGGAGGAGGAGCGAGTGAGGGTGTAGGATACAAGGAGGGTCAAGCGATGGAGACAAGGGAGAAAAAGGAGAAAATCAACGAGGATACAAGGGAGGAGGGAGGGAGGAGGGAGTGGGAAAGGAAGGGGAAGGGGGAGGACGGGGGGGGGGCGACGGGTCGTGGAAGGTTGACGGCATGACAGAGCAAGTTAAAGACGTTGCTACCTACCTGGGGATAAATCTTGAAGCCCTGAGCTCCCCTGTTACCAAGGAGGAGGTCGAGGAGGAGGAGGAGGAGGAGGAGGAGGAGGGAGAGAGGGAAGGAGAGGACGAGGAAGAGGACGTGGAGGAATTGGTTAAAGGGGGAAGTTGGGGGGAGGATGAAAATTCTGCAGGTGTTGGAGATGGCGCAATACCTGGGGATCGACGTGTGTCGGGAGGGATACCTCCTTCCTCTTGCCAAGATGGCTCTACAAGCTCCCCTACCCAAGGTAGAAGGAAGGGAAGGACGAGAGAGTGAAGAGGTAGTAGGAAGGCAGGCAGGCAGGCAGGCAGGGGAGGAGAGGGAGAGAGTCAGCTGGAAGTAGGGAGGTACGAAGTTGGGGAAGGATGCGGGCAGGAGGGAGGGAGGGTAGTAGGGAAGAAGAGAGGAGGTAGGGGAGGAGGATGAAACAAGGAGGTGGGAGGGGCGATCGGCGGAAGGCGGGAAGGGGAGGGGAGAGGGGAGGGGAGGAGGAGGCGGAGGATTAACGGGAACGATTGGCAGGGATGGGACATATGCAAGGACGAAGGAGGGGAACCATTTTACTTCCATCGGAGGACAGGAGTCACCAC